TTATAATAGCAACAAAACATACATAACACACTATAATAAGCTTAAGAAGCATATGTTAAAAGCTATATGAATAAAACTTTAAAATGCTACTAAGAGACAGAAAATAAATCCTAAGTAAATGGAAAGATCTAATCTTCTTGATTTAGAAAATTTAATATGGAAAGATGTCAATTCTCCCTAAATTATTTTTAATGTAATCTCAGTTTTCAAAAACGGCTTAGGATGAATGCTAAAATGTATAGGAAAATTAAACATAGAAGAGGGAGGTAGGCCTATAAAATATAAAATTTTAATAAAGCTCCAGTAGGAAAAGCTGTTTCGTGCTAACAGTGATTTGACAGATAAATAGAACAATATAAGGTCCAAAAATAGACTCTAAAATACTTGGAAATATAGTTGGTGGTTAAGATTGTATTCAAATAATTAAGGTTGTATTGTTTAATAAATTATATGGGGGCACCTGGGTGGCCTAGTCGGTTGAGCGTCTGACTTCGGCTCAGGTCATGATCTCACGGTTTATAGGTTAGAGCCCTGTGTCGGGCTCTGTGCTGACAGCTCAGAGCCTGGAGCCTGCTTCAGATTCTGTGTTTCCCCTCTCTCTCTGACCCTCCCATGCTCATGCTGTCTCTCTTTCTTTCTCTCTCTCAGAAATAAATAAAACATTAGAAATAAAATTATATGGGTACAAATGGCTTCTAGGGGAAAACATAAAGTAGAAGCTATACCTTATACCTCACATCTATATCAGTGCTAGTAGAAGGATGAACGATTTAAATGAGCAAAATAAAAATGTAAATATATCTAAAAAATTAACTGTCACAGAAGATATTTACTATACATGTAGCAAAGGTTTAATTTCTTAATTTATAAAAGTCTCTTATAAACCAGTAAGAAAAAGACCAATATAAATATTAACACAGGACTTGAACAGTCATTTGTAGGAAAGAAAATATAAATGGCTTTTAAGAATGTGAAAAGTTGATGATTAAGATCTGGAATCTAAAGTATAGCATGGTAACTAAAGTTAATAATACTGTATTATATACTTGAAAGTTGCAAAAAAAAGTAAATCTTAAGTGTTCTCACTATACGCACACAAGTGTTCTCACTATACATACACACCCGTGTGTGTGTGCATGTGCATACACACACACACGAATTATTATGTAGGTTGATGGAAGTGTTAACTAACTTTATTGTAGTAATTTTACATGATACACAAGTATCTAATTATGTTGTGCTCCTTAAATTTACATAGTTTTATGTCATTTATCTCAATAAAGGTGAAAAAATATTAAAATTTTCTCATAATTACTGACTTTAAGAAATTAAAATGATAATAAAAAAGAAATACTGTATTTCCCTTAAAATATTGACAGAGATCTGAAAGTGTGGTCACAGAAGTCTTCTGCAGCGTGTGAGGGAATATACTGTTTCTCTCATTATAAATTGTGACCACCTCATTTCAGAGTGAATTCACAGTAACTTCCAAAATTTAAAATATACATACTTCAGGTCTGGTAATTCAACATCTAAGAATTTATTCTTCTAACACTTTCACATGGGCAAAGTGATATATGGAGAAATTTTTTATTGTAGCATTGTTTCAAATTGTATATTAGAAATAACTGAAATGTTCATAACTAGGGCATTTGTCAGATAAATGGTACATACATAGCACTGTATGTGGATATATATTCATCTATTTCCTCATTCCTTTAGTTATCCAGTTTCTTGGCTTTAAATACCATTTGTGTGTGTGTCTGTGTGTGATTCCTAAATATTATCTGCAGTTCTCTTACCTCTCCTTAACTTCCTTACCACACTCTTACTTGGGATCTCCACTTGGATGACACAATAGACCTCCTGTTCTCAACAGGTATGAACTCTTGATCTTCCCCCCTAAATCTCACTTCCTTGACAACCTTCTCACTAGACAACAGATTTCATCTTTCTGCTAGCTCAGTCCAAATGCCTTGGAATCATCCTATTTCTCTCACAACCAGTTTTCAGTTGGTCAAGAAATTCATTTTGCTGTACCTTCAAATTATGTACAGAATCCTACCACTTTTCATCACAATGGCTGCCACTATCCTGGTCTATACCACCATCATTTCTTGCCTAGATTATTGCAGTTGCTGGTCGTCTTATATCTACAAGTGTTTGTATAGTTTATTTTGGTCTAAACAATCAGAATGATTGTTTTAAAACTGGATCAAAATCTTGAATGCTGAGAACAAACAGGACTGATGGATGTGGGGGGGAAGGGGGGAGATGGGCATGGAGGGGGGCACTTGTGGGGATGAGCACTGGGTGTTATATGGAAACCAACTTGACAATAAACTATTTGTAAAATAAAATTAAAAAAATGATATCCTTTCAAAGGCAAAAAAAAAAACCCAAAAAAATCCCCAAAAAAAACAACTGAATCAAATTGCATGTTGTTGTTCTGCTCAGAACTATGAAATGAGTCCCATTTTACTAGAGTAAAAGGCAAGATCCCTACAGTGGCTTGAAAGGACCTCCATGATCTGGCCCCTGTTAATTTTGTGGCCTCATTCCCTATTACTGTCCTTCTTCATTTAGCCTCAGCCACCTTGGTCTCTTTGAGGCTTCTTGAGGCTTGATGACTGTTGAGTCAGAGCCACTATTCTGACCAGCAGTCTGTGGGGGATCCTCCTTTCAAATGGCTGGTTTCTTCTCTTTTTTCCCAGCCTGATTTTTCACAAAATAGAAATCTAGCAAATATTAAAGAATAACACAGTATTTTAATTTTTATAATAAGCTAACAGCCTCTATTAGATAATTTCCACGAACACTGCATCACTTTTTAGCGAAATCAATTTGTGTGTACAGGGGCATCTTTGCCTTTGAGGTTGCTGCTGATGGTGTATAGACCAAATACTTAAGTGCATCCTTTATTTGTTATGCTTATTGGTGATTGTCTGTTTCACTGGCTAGAATGAATGTAAGCTTTATCTACTTTCTTCAGTGATAGATCCCAAGGGTTTAGAATATGTCCAATCAATCAATGAAGCAACCTGCAAGATAAATTGAAAAACTCAAAGTATATATAACTATTCACAACACTCTGTAAAATTAGATATATTCATACAAATGATATAAGTGTTTGTAGATCCATACAGTGTGTGAGAGACTATAGAAGAAACTGGTAATAATGGCTACCTTTGGAAGAAACAAGACCAGGCATGGATAGGGTGGCACATTCCACACTTTTGGATGTGCATGCACCACTTTAGTTGGAAAATACAATGCATAGCTGAGCCTAATTGTGGAATTCAAAATTCTTTATACATTTATAGTCTTAATTTTTGTTTCTTTGAAGATGTTTAATTGTATTACCACTAGATGGCATATACTTACTGATAAATTCTTAAAGAATCTCAGACACAAGTTTTTAAAAAAAGCTTTTTGGTTCCCCAAATTCACCAAAGTTTACTTTAGCTGTCTCCAGTATTGGTTTTTCTCAAGAAATTTTCTTAATTTCAGTTGTTTAGTACCATATCAACTTCTAAGTTATTTTTCACTGATTTCTTACTTAACATCATTATAACATTTAAGTTGCAGAAATATCTTAAATCTGTAGACACTAACTTAGATATTCTTAGTTTAAATTTTCTGTTTATTGAATTGTATCTGCCTAACTCTTTTTCTATAAAATTAGTGAATGAAGTTTAAATATTCTGTGGACAAAAGTAGGTTTTTGAAAAAAAAAGTAGCTTTTTGCTCGATTATATTCTGACTGCTTTTTATAAAAAAGTGTCTAGAACAACATGCAATTTAACAAGCACGTTCTGATTGCTTACATAATATGCAGTGAGATTAGGCCAACGGGTACTATGGAGGATACAAAGATGAAATATTATTTATTGCCTCTGTCTTCAGGGACCTTTCATTTTATGGGTAGGGGCAGTCATGAATACAAATAAATGTAATACAACTCAGAATGTAGTAAATGATTAAATGAAAATATTAAGTATAATGGAAAGAAATAGTTGATACTAATTTGAGGACTCTAAGAATAAGGCGGAGTTTGAGAAGAGCTTTAAATACATAGATAGTTTCATTCTCTAAATGAATTAAATACAGGTATTATATAGATTTACATTTCTGTATAAGGAGTGAATTATGTATCTGAGATAAAGATACAATCATTACATGCAAGTGATAAATATGGAATAATAGAATAAAAACCTATATTCTTTTTGATGGTAAAGTTTCCAAAAGATAACATGTTGGTATGGATTTTATAATTTGTTTTTTAAATTATTTTTTTAATGTGATTTATTTTTGAGACAGACAGAGCATGAGTAGGAGAGGGGCAGAGAGAGAGTAAGACAGAATCTGAAGCAGGCTCCAGGCTCTGAGCACAGAGCCCGACGCAGAGCTTGAACCCACAAACCATGAGATCATGACCTGAGCCGAAGTCGGACACCTAACCAACTGAGCCACCCAGATGCCCCTGGATTTTATAATTTGTAACATTTAAAACTATTATAAAAAACTTGTTAGGCAGATTCTTGGGTACTTGGTTGGCTCAGTCAATAAAGCATGTTACTCTTCATCTCAGGATCGTAAATTCGAGCTCCATGTTGGGTGTAGAGATTATTTAAAGATAAAATCTTAAAAAAAACTTTTTAGTCAAGATTTAAAATAACAGTGGAAAAATTAGTGGGTCAGTTAATTTTTATAGTCATTTTTAACCTAGAGATTCTTTTACTCTGTTTTTCTCTTTAAAAAGTTTTGTAAAAGTAAACTACATGTAGAAAAAGTACTGAATTCAAATAGAATAACATTTATTGAGTGTTTCCACAAATTTGCTATACTCTAAAATAATAATAAAATAATTGTATGCCAAAGCCTATATATATTACAGTGCTTAAATCAGATCAATTTCAGTTCAACAGCAGAATCAAGTAGATATTAAAACAAATTATATATATAGAAATGAGTCTTGTTATTTTTCTGTGTTTCTTTAGCCAGGAAAATGTAAGAAACAAAAGAAGTGGTATAAAAGCGCACTACAAGAAGCATACCTTCTCTATGGACATTCTCATGAGCAAAGACTGAAAGTCTGCCATCTATCCAAACAGGGTATTTGAGTTTTTTTATCTTTACCACTCCAAAATGAGGATTTGTTCAGATGCATGCTTTCTGAAATATATTTGCACCTTTGAAAAATCTCTATTTCTTTTCATAGGGATAAGATATATCCCTTTGAAATATAGGATAAAATATATCCCTATGAAAAGTGGATAAGATATATCCCTATGAAAAGTTGGTTCTCTGTGGATTAATAGTATGTATTTCACCTTCTGAAATGATTTTCAGTGGCTAAACATACACTCTAATTAAATGCAGGGGTTTTAATTAGTGCTTCTATCATCTTCTTTACTCTTAGACTATCTACATAAGTTCTCTTGTATATCTCAAAATATATATTTCACAATTAGAAGCTATGTCTTTAAAATATATTTCTGGGACGAAACTTTCATTTGCATGTGCTGTATTATTTTAGACCAAAGTATTTTTCAAAATGTTTTATTTTTAAATACATTCAAGGCAGAGATAAAAACAATCATCAACTTTTTTTTAAATAGGTGAAAAAACATGGTAAGATTTCAGGTCATTTTCAAAGAAAGTTCTCTCAAATAATAAATATTATGGTTTATAGATAGCTTTTTAAATGAATTAATCATAATGATTATAGCAGGTAGGATACATTTTTAACTCTGAATATGATTGCCACATAAAAATGATGATTTTCAATAAATTTAAATATATTCTTAAATTTTTCTGCTAAGTGATAATAATTATCGCCTTAAATTCTAAGGATTACAGAAGGATCTGGCCTTCAGTGCTGACTGAATTTGAAAGTAACAGCAGCATTTTTTCCTCCTTTGGAGAAGTTTAATATATTTTTTAAAAAACTTATATGTAAAAACATTTTATTTGAGAAAAATGTAAATATTAACAGAGCTACCTAAGTTTAGATTTTAAAGGAAATAAGTATATTTAAAAAGAGTGGAAAAGAATGACAAGCACATTACTCTGGTTTACTCTGAGACTGGGAAAAGGGACATTTATTACCATGAATGTGATGTTTATTCTTTGTGCTGAAAATATAATGTCTCTATTAGCAGTGAAGTTTGAACTCACTGTATTGTCACAAATGCAATTTTATTCTTTTCATGGATTAAACATTTTTCTTGTTTAATCTTTGAAATATTTAGGTTTTTTAGAGTTTTTAAAATATAATACTATGAACTAATATTTTTAGTTCAGTTATTTTATTAATATAATTATTATAATTATTAATATTATTCAGTCAGTTATTTTTTAAAGTTATTTCACACTAGCAATGGATATACTCTTTCAATAAATATGGAACTATGTCTTTGTCATTTTTTGTGTGTACCGGCGTATTTATGTCTGGGTTTTGGCATTCTTAACTTGTCCAGAGACTATGGAGAGGGGTTATTTTTCATTGGTTTTGTAGCAGACCATTTTTTTGCTGAAAGACTGTTGATTTTTGCAAGCAGAATTTGATGTAATTCAGTCTGAATGTAGAGAATCCATGCCTAACAACTTTCATTTTGTTCATCTTATTATTGAGTTTTAAGGGTTCTTTGTGTATTTCAGATAACAGTCCTTTGCCAGATATGTATTTTGCAAATATTTCTCTCACTCTGAATAATCTTTGTATTCTCTTGACAGCGTTTTTTTACAAAGCTGAAATTTTAATTCTAATGAAGTCCAGCTTATTAATTATTCTTTTGTGACCATTGCCTTTGATTCATATCTAAAGTCATCAGCAGCCTAGGTCATCTACATGTGTAGATGGAGTACATGAGGAGACTTGCGGGAATTCAATCTTCACCGTAACATGCTCACTCACTTCAGACTCAGCTCTTTACTATCTCCAAAAGAGATAATGTAGTCCTTGCTTAGCTTCCAGTGTGAATTCTAGTACATATCCAGCTTCTTAGTTTGTTCAAGAGTAGTTTTGAGAGGTAAATAGCCATTATTCAGATATTTTACAAAAGGTGGGTAGCTTAGAGGCAAGCAATTTATTTCATCCCAGCAACTTTGAGAATTTCTTCACCCCAAAATTTCTTCTTCCAACCCAGAAATATGATTACTAATTTCTTGGCCTGAATTCTTCCTACACCGCAGACATTGGCACACTATTGTGTTTGATGCAACTCTTTCAGTGTTGAGATCTGCCAGATCAGTAGATGATCTGTGAAAAATACAGACCTGCTCATAACTGTAAGAGATTTCAAAGTCCCGTCCACATAACTTGGTTGCCCTGTTTTTGTTGTATTTACTATTACTCCAAGTGAATGATTCTTCTTCTGACTATAGAAAGATTTTTCTTATGTAGGAACATTCACTATAACTGTATTTTTAAAATGAGTAGGGTATTATCATATAGTCTCTTTATAATTTAGCTTTAAGATTTTGTATTATTTGTAGGATTAATATTTTCTTACATGCTCTACATCTTAGAGTAGATGTTCCTGTTTCTACCTTTTTTCCCCTAGCATTGTTTTACTTTAAATAGGCTTTATTTTTTAGAGGAGAAAAATTTTGGGTTCCCAGCAAAATTAAGCAGAAAGTAGAGTTCTCGTATGTATCCGCCCCATACTCATACAATATCTTCCACCATCAACCTGTGGCACCAGGGCAGCATGAGCCAACGCTGACACATTATCACCCAAAATTCAGAGTTTACATTGGGTTCACTCTTTGTGCTGTACATTCTGTGGGTTTTGACAAATGTGTGATGATGTGTATTCACCCATTGTAGTATCATACAGAATTGTTTCACTGGCATAAATATTTTGTGTTGCACCTATCCATTTCTCCCCCGCTCCCACCCCTCTGCCAACACGTCACAATCACTGATCTTCTTACAGTCTTCATAGTTTTGCTTTTTCCAGAACATCCTATAGTTGGAGTCATAAGTATGTAGCTTTTGCAGATTGACCTCTTCATTTAGTAATATATGTTTACATTTGTTCATCTCCTTACAGATTTTTAGCACTGAAAATATTCCATTGTTTGTATGTAACACAGTTTATGTATCCGTTCACCAATGGAAGGACACCTTGGTTGTTTCTTGGTTTTGACAATTATAAATAAAGCTGCCATAAACATGCAACAGAGGTTTTTGTGTGCACATATGTTTTCAGCTCATTTGGGTAAATACCACAGAGCAGAATTGCTGGATAATATGGCAAGAGTATGTTTAGTTTTATAAGAAACTGCCAAACTATCTTCCAAAATGGCTGCATCATTTTTACACTCCCACCAGAAATGAATGACAGCTCCTGTTGCTCCACATAGTTGTCAGCATTTGGTGTTGTCAGTATTCTGGATTTTGGCCAATCTAATAGGTCTGCAGTGGTGTTTTAATTTGCAATTAAATGTCATTACAGAATGACATACAGTCATGATGAATATCTTTCATATGCTTATTTGCCACCTATAAATCTTCTTTACTGAGGTGTCTATTCATTGCCTGCGGTTTTTAAATTTTATTTTTTAAATTACCTCCAAATTAGTTAGCATATAGTGCAACATTTAGGTTACATTTGTTACATAGCGTAACATTTAGGTCTTTCAGTTTGTTTGTGTATGGTGTAAGAAAGTGGTCCAGGTTCATTTTTCTCCATGTCACTGTCCAGTTTTCCCAGCACCATTTGCTGAAGAGACTGTCTTTATTCCATTGGATATTCTTTCCTGTTTTGTCAAAGATGAGTTGGCCATATGTTTGTGGGTCCATTTCTGGGTTCTCTATTCTATTCCATTGATCTGATTGTCTGTTTTGTGCCATCATTGTCTGCTTTTTAATTCAATTGTTCATCTTATTGTTGAGTTTTTAAGAGTTCTTTGTATATTTCAGATAACAGTCCTTTGTCAGATATGTATTTTGCAAGTATTTTTTCTCACTCTGGATTATCTTCTCATTATCTTGACAGTGCTTTTTGCAGGGCATATATTTTAATTTTAATGATGTCTAACGTGTCAATTATTTCTTTTGTGGGCCTTGCCTTTGATGTTATATCTAAAGTCATTAGGATATCCTAGGTCGTCTACATTTTCTCCTACATTACCCTCTAGGAGTTTTATAGTTTTATAGTTTTGCATTTTTCATTTAGATGGGTGATTTTGAATTAATTTTTATAAAACATGTAAGATCTATATCTAGATTCATTTTTGGCACATAGACATCTAGTTGTTCAACAACCACTTACTGAAAACACCATCTTTTCTTCATTATATTGTCTTTACTCTTTTGTAAAAGATCAGTTGACTATATTTATAGAGTCTGTTTCTGGGCTCTTTGTTCTGTTCCACTGATCTATTTTTTATTCTTTTCTCAGTATTATACTGTCTTGAATATTGTAGCTTTAAAGAAAGACTTGAAGTCAAGTAGGGTGAAGTCCTCTGATTGTCCTTCTTCAATATTGTGTTGGCTATTCTATCATATAAACTTTAGATTCAGTTTGTTGAGATCTACTAAATACTTTGTTGGAATTTTCATTGAGATTGCACTGAATCTATAGATCAAGTTGGGAAGAACTGACATTTTGACAATATTGAGTCTTCCCATCCATAAATATGGAATATATCCACATTTATTAAGTTCTTTGATTTTGTTCATCAGAGTTTTGTAGTTTTCCTCATATAATCTTGTCCATCTTTTGTTAAATTTGTGCCTAAGTATTTCATTTTGGGGGGCTCTAGTATAAATGGTAATGTGTTTTTACTTTTTAATCCTACTTTTTCATTGCTGGTAAATAGGAAACTGATTGACTGTTGTGTATTAACCTTGTGCCCTACAACCTTGCTATAATCATGTATTTGTTCCAGGAGTATTTTTCTTGATTTTTTTGGATTTTCTGCATAAATGTTCATGTTATCTACTAAGAAAGACAGTTTTATTACTTCTCAGTCTATACCTTCTTCCTTTTTTTCCTTATTGCATTAGCTAGGAGTTCCAGTACAATATTGAGAAGAGTTGTGAGGCAGGAACATCTTTGACTTATTCCTAATTTTAGTGGGAAAGCTTTGATTTTCTCACT